GGACACCACTTGGGGGCTGAGTGGACACACCAGTTTTTGAATATTAAATCGTGTTAATCCCCACTCTCCATCCCTAAAATAGACAGATCTAATCCTAGCTTCCTCAAACCTTTAACTCCACCTGAGGGCTCAATTTATACCTACATTTGCGTTGAGCACCTGTACAGCAAAGTTGTACTTTCCTCGTTCCACTACGGAGTAGAAGCTGCAGAGCCCACACATCACAGCAGCAGGAAGAGCAACAGGATCTTCCTAGGTCCCCATTTCCACTTCCATATGATTATTTCTTCATCTTCATGTACAATTCCCTGCTTCCCTGAGGTTAATGCTACTTCTTCTATACTATACCTTTATTACTTGTCCCACATTCTATCTTATAGATCTAAATTCCAGGACCCATAAATCCAACTCCCTTCACTTTGATTTAAAGCAACTCAAATTCAAATCCTCAACTACTGGCTCCTTCCTTTCTTTCAGGACCATCTACATTTTCACTCTTGCAATTTGGCTTTGACTCCCCATCCCAGCTCCTGAATGTCTTACCAGGTTACTTTTTATGTCCACCCCTTAAAATACCAGTGGTGCCTAGGTTTCCACCCTGTCATATTCTCCACATTTCCTGTAGGTTATCTCACCCAGTCATTACTTCTAGGCCAGGCATTGCTTATAAATTCCAGATCCATTTATCCTCCAGCCTGTCAAATTTTCACCTCGATGCCCTCAAATTAAATATGTCCTAAATTGAATTCATCATCTCTTCACCAACACCAACACTTTAAGTTATATTTGTTTGTCTTCCTATAATTCAAATTTCAAGAAAAACCACTACTATAAATCAAGTTGCCTAAAAGTCAGAAAATCAGGAACAGTCTTTGACTACTTTTCTCACTTGCACACACAATTAAAAACCAAATTCTGTCAGTTTGCACTACTTTATTTCTAGAACCCATTAATATTTCTTATCTCCACTGCCACCTTCCTTAAGTTAACGAGTCTCATCATTTTTTATCTGGATTATAGCAATATAATTACTAAATTGTCTTCCTGCTATTATCATGATTCCACACATTGCTGAGAGAACCTTGTATAACACAAATCTAGTCAGCACAGTCTTGTAAGATGAATAGTTATAAAATTATCAAAAATCACTAGCTTTCCTATGTCATAAAAACTATTAGAAAAAAAGATTAATTTCAGTATTAGCAACTGAAATATAATACCCTTAGCATTATATTTCTAGGAAACATATAGGAACAAAATGGGAAAAACTATAAATTGTAGAGAGATACATAAGCATCACACCAAAAGAAGAAATCATTAAAGAAAAAGATTGACAGAGTGTTTTGAAGGTTGAAAAGACAAATGACAAAAATGAAAAATCTATAGCACATCACCAGTTACTATTCTTACTATGTAAAAGCTGTTAAAAATTAACAAGAAAAATGAACACCTTAATAAAAAATTAAAAATATATAAACTGTCAATTTACACAAGATAATATGACAAGTATACAACAACCCAACTATACCAGTAACCAAATAAATGAAAATTAAAACAAATATAATTTTTCGCTTACTACATCACGGGAAAGATTAGAAAGAATGATAACACACTATATATTGGGTATACTGTATTATATTGCTGGGGGTAGTGTAAATTGGACAGTATTTTTGGAGGGCAATTTGGCCATTAAAAATGTATGCACC